TTATTGACCTATATTTCACAAATGTTTACTTCTATGCGAACATATAATATTCGCAACAAAATTGTTTTTGTATTTCTCCCACGTCTAGCTACATATATCTTTTTCTACTTGCTAATGGGGCCGGTTGATGCTCATAAAGAAAACTTCATTCACGATGATGCAATTCCTTTTTCTATTTTTGTATATGTTTATAGATCCCCAAGATATTCTTAAACAATTTGTAAACTATAATTTAAGAATTTTACGATTGAATTATGGCATGTACAAAATTTCATTTTTTTTTTTTAATTTGTACTACATATTTTGAGGTTTTTGTAAAAACTGACTCTGTTAATAAATAGTGTGATTATTATAGAAGTACTATCTCTTCTAATTTTTGATTTAGAGAACTCATTAACAAAATGATTATTACTAATTATAAAAATTAACAAACGTCGTACACCTTTTAGTATCTTTGCAAGCTCCGTATCGTGGAAACGTAAACAAAAACATTAGACTCAATGAAGGACCTCCATAAATTACTAACTTTTTACAAAAATATCACAAAGTAGGAACAGATGAAATTGATTAATATATGAGAATTAACTTTGCTTATGATCCGTTGTATGTACTATCATTCAAAAATATACCCAATTTAAGTCAGTTATAAACTAATCAATTTTTAACAAAGGTGTTTTAGTATTCCCTTAACGCAATAACTTTTTTAAAATCGGACTAAGTGACTTGAATCTTTTTTTTAGACGATATAGAAACTAGTCTACTAGACGATGACCAAAATGTCTTTTTTAAATTGTGCTATCATTTGGGATGACAAAAAAAGAAAAAGAAAAATCTCTCGTCCTTTAACTTTTTTATCTGAGCCTATAACAAAAATTTAAAAAATGCAGTTGTTCGAAGAACAATTAACGCTTTATTTACCGAAAACGTATTAACTTGTTTTTCAATGACCGATCTGTATGTAATATAATAGAAGCTCGATAATTCTTTTTTAAATACAAATTTCAGAAGCAGTGACTAGATAATATTAATCCAAATACTTCGTTGAATTATGGATAAAATTGCGTCCAAAGATAGGTGCAAACTAAATACTCGAACCGGTGGCGGGGACTGGATTACTATATTCCTGGATACACGGTGCATGAAGAAAAACAAACAGATCGAAGATTAGGATACTAGCAGGAAATAGGAAGTTTAAGTATGATGAAGGTATCAAAAACGGAAACGGTAGAATACTTCTCAAAGAATGCTTGAAGGAAGAGGAAAAGAAAATTGTGAAAGGACAAGGAATAGCAAAGAAAGGGAAGAATATTTATTGAGAAATGGCTGCAGAATATAGAAGTAAGCAGAACTTAAACTGAAAGAGACAGAAGGAAAAGGGAACAGCCTGAAGAGTAAGAGATGCGAAAATTTTCAAGAAGAAAATAACTACTGGGTGAAGGAAGAAAAAAAAGGAAAATGCATTCTTTGGTTTACAATATATAGATCTTTGCTACAAAATTCAGATAAATTTCGCTTCATAATAGAAATTTCGATAGGATAACGTACCCGAAGTGTATGAGTTAAAAAGACCAATTTATTTACGTAGAATTACGTAAATAATTAATCACGTAGAATTACATAAACTATGCGAACGGGACGCATGTATATATATATGAGCCGTTTATTTTGAAAGTGGCATAAGTCACGTTACCGTAATGAAAAGTGGCGATGTTTTAATGTTTATACGAAATTATTTATACTGAGAAAAATATCAGTATCCTGAGATATAACAAATACAAGTGAACCTTCTCGAAAGTTAGCATCCATATTTTGAAACGTGTTAACACTTCCACGACCGCGCTAGAAACCTCAACAATTTTCATGAAATTAAAATATTTCATTCGATTAAACAAAAATTATGAAGTAAACTTATATGGCATCAATTACTCCTCCAACATTCGTATCTCTTGCAAATCTGAATAAAATGAAGCAATCATTTTTAATTTTTCATTAATTATCAATTCGGTCGTCGATCGACTGAATTTAAAACGGGGAGATCTCTCCGTTCGGTTGGCTAAGTGTTAAAACGCAAACCCTTAAATATGTCGACTGAAAAACAAAGCGACTATATGCCACACTTTCAAAATAAACGGCTCATACGTATATCGTATAAACGTGCAAACATTGGAGGTATACGTAAACGGGAATGTTACGGAATTATTTACGAAGTGATATAAAGCGTGAAAAATCGGACGATCTATCAGATATATACCCAGCGTCAAAACACCGATTCCGCGGTGCAGATACGATCGCGTACTACTTTCGCGATTCATCGCGCTCCGAATCTGTACAGGCGACAGCCTCGTTGCTTCGATAAATAGCTCCGGGATCGAACCCGGCGATCTGTAAATGGGGGTGGTAACCGCGTAATCGGCGGTTCCAACGTAAAAAAAAAACTAATTAAGAAATATCAGAGGGGAAGGACTGAGAAGCGATGATGAACGATAAGCGAGGCAAGACAGCAGCCCCCCGATGATAACGTGGAAAAACGTGAACGTACGATGCGCACGCACCCATCGGTGCCAGAACGTACGTGCACGGAGGGTGACGGGGGTGAGAACGGAAGCTCGCGTAGATAGGGAGGGTGCAGTCGCCTCAGACGTCTGCTAGGCCCTAACACTTTGCGTCAGACCTTCCTTTTACGCTTTCCGTTCTCTCGTTCGGTTGCACCTTCGATTATTCTTCCCTTCGGCGGCCGTTCACGATGGCTCTCGATGCCACCGAGAAAAGTTACATACTGGACGCCAGGAACACCTACGAGGATGTGAGTAAGACAAATTGTGCGTGTTCGCCTCGATCCGAATTCTCCATTCCGCACCGATCCTTCGTCCGAGCAGGACAATCAGCGGCCCTATCGAAACACCGATATCGCGTTGTTATCACCGGATCGTTTCGCTCGATCATCCGCGCACGATCGACGGATCAGGATCGGCGGACGCGAAACTAGCTTCTTCTTTTCCTCCCAGCTATAACTATCCGAAAGACAGAAACGAACCGTGGTTAATTCGATTACTGGCAACGGAGAAGATTATCGCCCCGTGATCCGGTAATATCCGAGGCGGGTATCCGCGCGACGAACGCCTAAAGAGCCCAGCCAGCCATCATCGGTTAGCGGATTTCTGCAATCGGATGATCCATTATTATACCACTCGAGGATTGATTAGATTGCGCACGCTGATTGAACGGCGATAATCGGGGGCCGGGAGTGTGGCAGGAGAGGCAGCGTTGTGGAATTTTCATGGAGCTGTTAATTGCGGTGCCGGTGGGCCGAGGCTGGTATTCCAAGAAGTTCACCTCGTGATTCGCAACCCTTTTATGAATATTTCGAAATTCGTTGAAATCGAGGACGACGACGACCACAACGACGACGGTGGTTCCGTATCGAAGGATAAACTCCGTTCTCCGGGCTTTCTCGCGTTTCTTCGTTCGAGAGGGATCGTCGGCGATGTTTCGACGGGGATTCACCCGAGAACGTATTAATTATATAACAAAGAACGAGGAGTCGAAGTCGGAGGAGAGAGTTTTCCCGTAGTTTCCACGTAGTTAGGAAAGTTCCGGACGAAGTCCGAACGAGATGAGAATATCTCTCGTTACCGAGTGTCTCTCTCTCCGGCTGTACTATCGCGACAAACGAGAAAAATCTATAACTCATCGCGCGTCCGTATACGCGGATATTATCCGTTTCTATGCGTTTTCTACCTTTCGCAGAGATAAGGGAGAAGCGTTCATTATTTCACGCGAGGCATAGAAGTAAACAGTGCCGTGGCCGTTCTATTATTAATAGGCAAACAATTCGATGCGTTCTCGCGAGGCGGAATCGGAGTCGGGCTTTTGCTTAACTAGGTCTTTTGTTTTGATCTTTTCGGTGCGGTGAAACGCTTGAAACGGGTAACACGAATATGTGTTCGAGTCGAGCTCGCCGTTTAAACTGCGAGAACCGTCTGCGCGTTCGACGAAACATTGTTCGAGCTACATTGTTCGACGAAACATCTTCGGATGTAATTATCTCTCGCAAAGATAATTCGTGGAATTGTTTGTTTGTTTGATCTTCACTAATAACGTTCGAACGTTAAACCAAAGCCTTTAATTACAGCGTAATTAACGGTCGACGACGATCTTCCGTTCGCGACGTGATCTTCGAACTTTTATTTGTTAAGATCGAGTTAGATCTCTATGGAAATTTCAAAGCAGATCGATTTATGGTTTTGAAACTTATTCGACAAGTTTAATTTCGCTGATTTTATTATTATTATTATTATTATTAATAATAATATAAAGACAAATATAAAACAAGATATAATAGACACGTTTCTTATGTAATTAGAATGTATATTTATTTACAAGAATCGTAGAGGGGCCTGTCAATTTGTTTGCCTAGTTGATTTAGAACGGATAACGCTGCAGAGGGTAAAATTACTGGCAATTTTGATTCTAAATAGGGTGGCAGTCTCGGTTCGGAGGAGTCTTACGATGACATGAGACAATTGGTCGGGGTAAGAGAGAAATCAATTAACCGAGAGTTTATACACTAGCATGAATTTGTTTCTTCTGCTGGCTGGCACGTCTACGAAAAGCACAGTTGCATGATTCAATGTTACAATCGATGTTCTATCTCATTCGCCGAATTATTTTATATAATTTGCATTCTTAATATGTACATAACAGTTTGCCTAATTGATGTTAATTGATCGCGAAACGAAACTCTGTCAGCAAAAGCGATCTGTGATATACTCCTTTGATTTTCAGATGCAACGAAACATCCGTTTATCGCTTTCGAACGTTAATTTTGCATCGTGCGTACGCAAATCAATGATATATATATATATATATATATATATATATATATATATATATATAT